AAAACTATTTCTTCGCACTCTTTGTAGTTGTTCATAGGTTATATTTGCACCAACTTCTTCTTCAAATTTACTGAAAAACAATATGTATTTATTAATTAATTAAGACTATGGAAATCATATTAGTTATTATATTCTAATTCTAAGGAGTATAACTTACGTTACCCAACCATCAACCTCCTTGCAATTCAGCAAAACATATAGTTCAGCTGCATTTTTCTCTTCCAATCTTAAACATCTTGTACGTGAGTGTGCACCTATTGATTGACCAGGGCAACAAAATACGGATAACTGACCTGGGACATTGCTCCCAATACCACTATAGTTTCTTGGTGGCTGATTCCAGCTTGTTTGAACATCATCTCCAAAATAACGAGAGCAGAACTGGGATATCTCATATAATATATATGCCTCAACAATTGATGCTTCTATATGATTTTTATTCCCTATGGTCTTCTTAAGTTTGCGCATCAGCCTGAAAAAGGATATTAATAAAATTAATTGAAAAATATTAATTAATAGTTAATTATAATTTTTTTCAATTTTTTTGTATAATTTACTTTTCAAATGGATACATCCAACGAAATTGAACAGGACCACCAACTCTGGCTTTATATGGAAGATGAATTGCAAGATGTTCCATAGAATCGAAGAATGCTGGGGGAAATATTATTTCTAACTTACAAATTGTTTCAACAATCTTTGCCTCCCACTCCTGCATCTCATTAGGTTTGATGATCGGGGAACAGAGTGAACGAAAAAAGTTACTAATGTCAGTCAAAGGACCCCAAACTGCAGAAGGCAATAAACCACGAAAAGCAATTGGAATTAGCCGTTGCATGAAAACATGACAATCGTGACTTTTCATCCCGAATAATCTGGACTCATTCAAGTTGACACATCTTGATATGTTAGAAGCATATCCATCTGGAAAGCGCAACTGTTTCAACCATGCACATATAAGTTTCTTTTTTTCTGAGGTAAGTGCATAGGTGGCATTAGGCTTCACAAGCTTACCATATCTATCATATCTCATTTGCAATTTTTCTCGATCACAATAAAGGGCTAAATCCAATCTTGCTTTCTTATTGTCTTTTGTCATATTATCATTCATGACAGTGTGTATTATGTTGTCAAAGAAATTCTTCTCACAGTGCATTACATCAAGATTATGTCTAATAAGATTATCCTGCCAGTAAGGAAGCTCCCAAAAAATGCACTTTTTCACCCAATTGTGGGTGCTTCCAAAACCCTCAATTGTTTTGTTTTCAAAGGGTTTCCCAAACAACACATCAGGAAGGTTTTCAACTCGATGACGCATTGAAACACCATCCAATTGAGGAGGGGGATTGCCAAATTCAACCCGACCTTTCAAAAAATTAGTATGATCAAATCTGAAAGGATGTGACTGGGATAAAAACTGACGATGACAGTCAAAAAAAGATGGTTTATGCCCATGTTGAAGATAGAAAGATTGTGTCATCTCCATACAATAAGGACAAGACAACTGGCCATGTGTGCTCCACCCAGACACCATGCCATAACCTGGAAAATCAGTTATGGTCCACATCAACATAGCACGCATTATGAAGTTTTGCTTACGATAACTATCATATGTTTCCACACCAGTTGACCATAACATTTTCAAGTCTTCAATTAAAGGTCGAAGAAATACATCAATATTTCTACCTGGGCTTTTTGGACCCGCAATGACCAATGTAAGAAATGTAAACTCCGGTCGCATGCACATCTCAGGTGGCAAGTTATAGACAGTCAAAAAAACTGGCCAACAAGAGTAAGGGGTTGAAGAATGAGCCCAAGGGTTAAAACCATCAGTGGCAAGACCTAATCGAACATTACGGGGTTCTCTTTTAAAAGAAGGATGCACTCGATCAAAATGTCTCCAAGCTTCTGATTGTGCTGGATGGATGACTTCATTTGTATCACCACAACATTTCAGATGCCATGTCATGTGCTCAGCTGTTTTTCGAGACATGTATAGCCTCTGAAGGCGAGGTATTATTGGCAAGTACCAAAGAGAATTCCTTGGAATGTCCTTTTGTCTTTTCCTTCTTGGATTTCTCTGTTTATACCTCACTTCTCCACAAATTGGACATGTGGTCAATGTCTTTGTAGACTCCCCATAGTATAAAAAGCAGTTGTTAACACAAACATCAATTTTTAAATAACCTAACCCCAGCGCTGTCATAAATTTTTTTACTTCATAAAAGTTTGCAGGGACTTTTTCCTAATCTTCAGCACTTAACAACCTCCTACATCCTTCAATGATGGCATTAAAAGCACCAGCAGTTATATTATTTACAGTCTTAGTGTGCAACATATAAGAAAGCCAACTAAGCACTGTCTCATTTCTATTGGAACTACCAAGCG